TACTCCCATGAATGTGTTAATACAATGCTTACATTGGCACTCATAGTAAAGCTGAGATATAAGCAATATTATCATGGCATTATTGTATGTAGAGAACAGAAAAATAGAATCGGCAGTATGATTGGGCATGCAGAGCATGTAAACAAGATATATCACAAAAGAAACTGGAAAAATGGAGGTTTCTGAGTTAGTTTTTTTATGGCTATAGGCAAGAGTATGGTTAACATGTGTGGAAGTATGGGCAAGAGTTATGTGTTTGTGTGGCATTCGCAAGGTGCCAAATGTTGGGAGAGCAGAGCATATATGTATGCAACAGACTAGCAAAATTAGAAAAGTGGCAATGGACATGGGGTTGCTTGCATTTTAATTGGTGATTAGATCATGCAGATGCAGAACGGGATGAAGCAGAGTATCAAGTGTGATGTGGGGTACAAGTTTATGGCTGAGAAGTTTATGGCTGAACATATGTGAGAAAAATTTTATGATTGAGTGCATGCGGATGGCTTTTGTGATTGGTGTGGATGTACTCACTAGAGGGGTGAATGCAAAGGATGTTAACTGTGGGTACATGGCGAGCTAGAGAATTTGAGATTTTAAAATAATGGGTCAAAGCAAACAATAAGTTTAGGTAAGTTGAGGGCTTGTGGAAATTAGCATGCAACAGAATTGGTTTGTGTCCTGGCTCTGCAAGTATGAAATCTGAGAGTAATTAAGTCAAGTACAAATATTAAAAATAATTGATTGGATCTCACTATGATGCCAAAATTGATGAAGGGGGTAAAAAAAAGGCCAGCATAAATAGCTCAGAGCGAATCTCATATGCAACTTTGATTCTAAAAGCACTCAATTGACCTCAAACGATTAAGTTTCATTCACCATTAATCAATCAGATCAATCAGCTATACATAATAGTGCCGTACTTAAAGAAATAAGATTAAAAAGATGGTGATATTTAAGAGTAAATCCAACCCAATCCTAATACAATAACAACAATACACCTTTATCACACTGAATGGGGTTGGCAACTTGATTCCTTTTTCTCCATTGTGTCCCATTGAGTATCATATTTTCATTTAATTCTAATAGATTAAGATTATTTTTTATACAATATGCCTAATTCCTTTTAGGTCTCCCTCTGCTTTTCTTATCATTAGTCGAAGCGAAAACATCTACTCTCCTAACCAGATCAACAGATGGTCGACGTTTAATGTGACCAAATCATCTAAAATGACTCTCTAATCTTGACGGCCACTGGAGCTACACCAACCCTATCACAGATATATTCATCTCGCATTTTGTCTCTAAGTGTCAAGCCACTCATCCACCTAAGCATTCTCATCTCAGCAACGCTTAACTTTTTCTTATGTTTCTCTTTTAAAGGCCAACATTATGCGCCATAGATCATTGCATGTCTCACCACTATCTTATAAAATTTTCCTTTCAGTTTAAGCAGTTCCCCGAATCATTCCTCCACTTCAACCAACGAACTTGAATTCTACTAATAATATCCTCATCTATATCACCATCAATCTAAACAATAGACCTTAGATATGTAAAACGTTCACATCAATTAATAATTTGATCACCCATAGCTACAACCGTTCACATCATTTAATAGCTTGATCACCCATAGTTACAACTCTGCTACTAGAGTTGTTACTAATAAAATTACATTCTATATATTCAGTTTTAGATCTACTCAAACGATGGCCTTTAGACTCCAATATAGACCTCCAAAATTCAATTTTTCCTAATCTTTCTCTAGTCTTATCGACAATAAGGATATCATCAGCGAAAAGCATACACCAAGGTATATCCTCCTGTAAATGTCCAGTAAGCGCATTCATAACTAAAGCAAAATGATATGGGCTTAGAGTCGATCCTTGATGTAACTAAAATAGGAAAATACTTGATCAAGCCTTCTCTTGTTTGAACACAAGTAACAACTCTAGCATACATATCTTTAATGACTTGGATATAAGTCATATCAATACTTTTTTTCTCTAAAACTCTCCAAAAAACTTCTCTTGGAATCTTATTGTAAGATTTTTCTAAATCAATAATAATCATATGTAGATCCCTCTTATTCTCTTTGTACTTCAACAAACCTCTCAATAATGTATAGCTTCCATGGTAGACCTGCCTGGCATAAATCCAAATTGATTATGAGAAAACTTTGTATCATGTTTTAACATATGTTCAATTACCCTCTCCCATAATTTTAAAGTATGACACATCAACCTAATTCCTATATAATTAGCACTTTTGTGCATCCCCTTTATTCTTGAAAATGGGAACCAAAATACTCCTCAGACAACTTTTTAGTTTTTAAAATAATATTAAAGAATTTAGTAAGCCAAGTCTTCAAATCTCCTAAATATTTCCACATTTCGATAGAGATATCATCAGGTCCTACTGATTTTCTACCCATGGTTCTCTTTCAAGCCTCAACATTTTTTTTACTAATGTGATGATAAAAATAAAGTATTTTATTATTTTTAATGATATTAAGATCACTAAGGTCAATCGTATTTTCAGTAAAATTCATTGAAAAGTTTATCAAAATAGCTCACCCACATATGTTGAATATATTTTTATAAGAAAAACACTTTTTGATTTTTATCTTTAATAAGTTTTATTAGAGTTAATTTTTTATTTTTCTCTTTGTTTGGCTAATTTATACATATATTTTTCATTATTTTTAATATCTAATCTATTATAAAGATCTAAAAGAAGAATTTTTTGGAACACAAATTATTTTCTTAGACTTCCTACGAGTCATCTTATATTTTTCCCAATTTTTTATGCATTTACATATAAACTACTTTTTATATTTTATCTTTTCTTACACATTATTATTTCACCACCAATTTTTTTTATTTATAGAAATTTTCCTTTTGATTCTGCAAGTACATTTTTTGTCACTTTTTTAATAGTGTTTATTACTTTATCTCACATAGAATTTGCTTCTTTATGAACATTTCAAATATTAAAATCTTTAAGTTTATTCATAAAAATAATTTTACTTGTCTTTTAGGTGCCCCATCTAATTTTATAACAATGATTCATAGTATCATCATAAAATCTAAAACTAATAATCAATGTTGAGTATTTAGATTTTCACTTGGAATGAACTTACAAACTTTACATTCTCAACGATCTCTTCTTCTTATAAGAAAATAATCAATTTGTGTTTTATAAGATCTATTCTTAAAAATAATTATTTAATCATCTCTTCTCTTAAATAAAATACAGCAATAACAAAATCATACGTTAAAGCAAAATTTAATATGATTCTACATTCTTTATTAATCACTCAAAAACTGTAGCCACAATGAATATTTCTAAAATCTTCTACCACTCTGCCAACATACCCATTTCAATGTCCTCCAAAAAAAATTTTTTCTTCAAGAGGTCTCATTTGTATTAATTTTTCTAAGTTATTTCAGAATTTATTTTTAGAACATATATCTAAACAAACTTGAGGAGCATAAGCACTTATAACATTAAAAATCTTAGTATCAACAACAATCTTAAGGGCTATAATTCTATCTCCAATTCTATTAATTTTTACAATATTATCTTTCAAACCCTTATCTATAATTACACCTACACCATTTTTAGTGCGACTCCTACCTGAATACCAAAGTATAAAGCCAAAACTATCAATCTCCTTAGTCTTTTCTCCAACCCATTTAGTTTCTTGAATACATAAGGTATTTATCTTCCTATGAACCATAATATCAACTAATTCCATTAATTTAACTGTAAGAGTACCGATATTCCAACATCTTATCCTAATATTAGTTTTATAGATTAACTTATTTTCTTGTATCTGTCCATAATGTGAGAACTCTTGCTTATTTGACACTACACACGGGCTTCGGTGTAGCAGCACTTGCACACTTTTCATTGTATTCAGGTTATGCAACATGTCGCTTCCAGGGGATGCCCTAGCATTTACACAAGGATTTAAAGGATTCATGGGTCATGATTTTTCGACAAATTTTACATTGGTTGTCGATTACATGACGCAACCCTCCGCTTTTCACATCTGGGGTTTAGAAATGGGACAGAAAAAAACTTGAGAATGGGCTAGCTTAAGTTGTTTTTTGGCCAAATTTGATTTCTTTTTTTTTATTTTTTTTTTTTTTTTTTTTTTTTTTTTTTTTTTTGTTATAGGCTCATGGCCCATTGGGTATTTTGTAGACTGATGTGATATTGTCAAAGGCTTGCACTGCATCCTTAATTATTTCAGATTTATCATTCAAAAAGAATGAAAACATACATAACAGCAAAACTTCTAAAGGTAAAACAAGACAATTAAAACAAAAAAGTATCACATAGTATGCGACATGATAAATATATATATATATATAAAAACATGAATGAAATGTGGTTTCGAAAGTCCAATCAGGTTGGCTATGACTCAATTATTAGATAATAAATATTTCATTGAAAGCCAGTTTGACTATGATCAGTAAATGAGAATCTTAAACGAAATATTCAATAGAAAGTAAAAAAACACAAAATGATCAAACAAAAAGGATAAAAGAAACATCACCAATAAAAAATATGATAGTAAAAATAAGACTTTGAGTTTCGAGCATGTACAGTAAAGAGCAATATACGATTAAAGTGAAAGAATTTCCAAAAAAAAATGACAGAAAGGTTTTGCCAAAAAAGTCAGTTGGCTATGTATGTCACCATTCGTTTAGGTAAATGACTATCGTAAGGCCATCAAGAAATATGTCCCGCGTAGTTTGTGAAAATATATTAAAAGGTGGGTTTGCTCGGCTAACATTGCTTAATAGTACATGTACTTTGAACCATATATTATTTAATAAGATTTGAAGTAGATCGCCATACAAACTGCAAGCACCAGAAGTATCCATGAAATTGGAAAAAAGTAACTCATTTTCCAGCTCAGATAAGGAAGGTGCAGATTTTGGACATCCTCATTTCACCCTTACCAAACAATTAAAAAATTTCAAGTTTTTCAAAATCCTACGGCCTGATGTGAAAAGAAAATCTTTAAGCATTTTACAAGAATTTTGATTAGTAAAGGACTTGGGTTAAAAGTAAGGATATTTTCTTGAATTTCAAATGGCTGTGATCCAGCATTCATGATCAAATTAATTGAAATTTAAGATAAACATGTTAGAAACTGACCTCCTTCCATGATTCCCCCGTAGCTTCTAGTAGGGCAGCATTGCAAGTTTTTAATTCAATAGAAAACCCTGAAAACATGGAGGCAGCTTCTTCCCAGCCCCTATTATGCCCCATGCACCTACACAGTCAACCTAGCTTTTGTAAGATATCAACGAATGGATAATATTAATAAGCTTTTAATCTAGCCTAAATCTTAAAATAAAGCAACAAAAAAGTAAATAAGTGTCCAAAAACAAATATCAATACACCCATTTACTAAGCATTGCATCTCTCAGAGATGTGACTCACATTACTGTAAGGACCTCATCCCTTGAGTATTGACATACAATCTTTTGAAGATGTTCAGCCGTCTGACCATCCATTGCTGCAATAGAATAGAAGCTCGGCATAAAATGAACCTCAGCTTGTGAGAACTCCTTTGAGTACTCTTGCATAATTTTAAGGGTTTCCTTTGTCCGAGTAGCATCACTGTGATGTGAAAAGTAGTTTAATATCAAAGACTGTCCCTACAATGTAATCTAGCTATCACTTCTTCAATTGAGCAAAGAAATCAATTGTCTCTTACAGGCATAATTTTAAGAAGTTTTTTCTTTTTTTTTTTTTTTGCTTAATTTTAAGAAGCTTGACACAGCACAACAAAAATGGTACGGATACTTAGAAAAAGCAAGCTTAATTTTGCAGGTTAACCTAGGAAAAAATTAAGGTCTAAACCCACATTTTAGGCCCTACAAGTGAAAGCGAATTTCTGATCACAAATTTCATGGAAGTTTGTAAATGGCAGGCAACTTTGATTACCAAAATGTTTATTAATATAATAGATATGCAGCTTTATATTTATTATAACTATGATAATCATTCTTTAATCAAAAAATAAATGGTAAAGATCCTATGTACAACACATAGGATGGCATTCACTGGAATAAGTATGCTAAATTACTAGTATGGTACAAATTGCATGTAGGTTAAACAAAGAAAATTTTCTGAGATCTTTGTTTAAAAATATTTAAATATAAGATATTGCACCATTTTCAATTTTAAACTAGATGATATCTCAGTCTTCAGTTGATTGTGGGAAAAGAACCGCAAGCATTTGAAGGTGTTCCATCTACTACAAAAGCAACATCTTAACATGTGAATTTGCCAAAAAGTCCCACCTCTACCTAGGATTCGGCGTGCTTGATGGAGACATAAAGATTGATCCTAAAAAGGTAAAAGCTGTCAATGTATAGCCCGAGCCAAACATATTTATCCACCATGTTCCAATACTTGCCTCTCCTTTCTATGCTTTAACAAGAACCAATTTTGAAAATTGAAAGAGGCAAAAGCAAGAAGATACATTATTCGATTAAAAAAAAGATAAATGGGGCCCTTGAACTAGGCTTGCTAAATTTGTGATATAGTTTGAACTGGAGGCCTCACAAGTTGCACCAAGCAATCTACTATACATGCTTCACCCTGACATCCACATTACACATAATGTTTGACGGCCGCCATATATTGTAAATACCATCATGTTTATGTTTCTATCATGTATAGGATGCTTTCATTAAATTTAACTTAGTTGATAACTTTACAATAGTCAAGTCAGCATAAGATGGGGCAAATGGCTATTAAATTCAGATGTCAGCTAGAAGACTTGCCAGCAAAAATGGGAATTGGTGAGCCTTAGCTTCAGATATCGTATAGGAATCTTTTATTATAAGTTGAACTTCCAGCCTTATTATAATGTCTTAGTCTGAATTTTGATAAGTTACATGTCCTTCTAAATGTCTTCTAAGGAAGTACCAGTAAGGAACCCAACAATTCTATGGTGCAAAATCGAGATGAGCCTTGGGCACCACCTATTAGTACCGAATTTCTTGCAAGTTGATGGGCCATATCACCAACTTGCCATTACTTGGGGGTCATGACATCAACAACATCAATTCTGGTTTGAAGTATATGTGAAATTGGATATGTCAACACACAATAGATAAGTTGATGCCAACAAGCTTGACTCCTGGATCAAGCGTTTGGTAAATACTTACTATCAACAAATAAACAGAGAATCATTTTCTTCTGATCAGTGCTCACAGGCCAATCAGAATGATTGGGTAAAATTGAAACAAAATCAAATGGTTACTGGAGACCGAACTTTTTTCAGAGCGGGAAAAGAGATTTTCATGGTAGTGCTTGCTTCAACGCTTAGAATAGTAGATGCAAGAACATATGGAGTTCAAAAAACTGGTAGTTTCCCTATATATCTTGTTAAAAAACTTCATCTTTATGAAGTATATTGCAAGGTCATAAGACAATTTGGAAGGAGTTGAAGCTTTTCAAGACACCATTGCAAACGTGAATACAAAAGCCATCGCCATGGAAAAACAAATTAAATCCACAGCTAAGAAGACTATTACAGGAAGTAAAGAGGGTAACCCATAAGATGGAGAAACAAGATGGTGAGAAGGGGCCAAACAAAAGGGAAAAAAATAACATTTTGCTCGCATTACAAGGTACATAACAATAGAAAATACAATTGCTGGAAATTACAAGCCAAAAAAAAGGGTGATAAAGATTGGGGAGTGTAGTAAGCAAACCTCTGGATCATTCTGATGGCAAACAAGAGGCCCACAAGATCCCACTAGCAACACAAGCAACAAATGGATGTTTTGGTCAGGCCTACTCGAAAGCTATATGGGCAGATTTTTTCTATGCCCTGAGACAACCAGCAATCATAACAAGCAACCGTACATACTCTAAGAAGTTAACAGCACTTGCATCAGCATTCCTAGCAGTCACACCTGCTAAAACATAAAATTCGAGGCTAGTCTGTGGACAAAGCTTCAAACAACAACAGCATTAATCACATTTCCATTTATTATAGCCTTACATTTAGAAGCCTCTGCACGAGGTAACGGAAGAGGTTTCTCGGTTTAATACCCAAATCAGGATAGCAATTGTCTCCGCAATCATTAATCAAAGTAGCTGAAAGGATTTAATCTCAGAAGAACTGGAGATTCAACTGCAACTATGAGCGAAATCCTATCCAAAGTCATTATAATTAGGGAGGATTACGAAGGAGATCGAAAACAAGAATCAACAGTGCGCCTTCAGATTTGTCATCATAAACCACGTCATCAATTTCCTTTTCACTTGATTAAATTTTATTGAGACAAACAAAAAAATGAAGTGCAAATCTTAGATATGCATGGTTTCTCATGCATGAGATGATAGAAGGGTCAGAAAATACATATGTTTTACCTTTGCTTGACACTTCCAAGGCGAGCAACTTGATAAAATTCTGCAAGTGCCAACCTCATCCTCAAGAGTAAAAGAGATTACCTCCTCAAAAGGCAATCACGCATGAACCACAATGTGATTGATTGATGAAGTTTTGTAGAGCCTATTTCGGTTAAAAGTCATCACTTAATCTCAATGATACTATAATCTTTACAGCAATTATGAGATAAAGTATATACCTCCCCCAGAGAAGGTCCTAGGGCTTTTGCAAAAGAAGGCCAGTTTCATGCCACTCTCAATAAGTGTGAGTTTGATAGCCACAATCTGGTCTATTTTGGTTTCACTGAGAGCAATAGGAAGCTTCAAATTGACCTAGAGAAGGTGGTAGCCATGAACAATTGGTCCACATTGCACATAATTTCGGCGGTATTAAGCTTTATAGGTGTTTTACAGTCTTGGGAAAGCTTATCTACCATGTCCTAATGTTGGAAGCTCCTTTATATGTTCTCATAAGTGTGGATCACCCCTTCAAATAGAGTGAAAAAGTAAAACAAACACCTTCCAATTGCAAAAGAAGAAAATCATGGAAGTGCCAGTACTTTCCCTTCACAACCAGTAACATTTTTTGAGATTAAGATGGATGCTTCTACAAATGTCATTGTTGCGGTCCTCGTTCAAAATGGTTGATCATCCGTGTATACCTAAAAACACTATGGCCAAGTTCAAAATATGAGCTAGCATCAAGCACGTACCGGATCATAATATTCTAATTATACTTGGTAGGAAGTACAAAACAACAGCCCAATTCAACCAATTCAGCAGGACAACTCGGCGAAACTCATTCAGCCAATTTCAACCGCCTAAGCTTAGATAATACGACAAATATTAATTCAGTCAGCCTGTTCAACTCATAGAATTCATCCAATCAGTTCAAAAAATCAATTCAACGAGCTAACTTGGCGAGTGAAATTGACTTTATCAATTTGTCATATAGTCAGATAACATTATTATAGGAATTTTCTCTTTTTTCTATAACAATTTTTGTAATCACCCCTGGGTCCTATCCAAGCGTAAATAGGAGAGACCGGGAAAGGGTTAGATAATCTTTTGGGGTGGATGAATCTCAAGGAATCGACCTAGACGTTCCTTATTTTTCCAAACATAAGAGAGTTTTTAGCTGCCTTCTTCCATTTTTCTTGTATCCTAACTCTTCTTCTCTAAGAAGTCCTTTCTTATGTGGTGCAAGACCACTGACAATTCAAGATCCAACAATTACATTCAAAAATGCTACATGAAGCATTAGAAATATACCACTTATAGCAAAAAACTATTTGTCCTGCTATATGAAGCACTAACAATATTATCCACCAAGAATGGAGACTATTTAGCTTACGGATTATCAATCAATGTAGCGCTTTACGATGTAATCCAAGTTGCAACAAACTCAACCTATGAAGTGAACAAAAATTCACAATAGTTGAACTTGGTGATCAAGTACAAGAAAGGTACACAGAATAGGACATATGAGAAATCATCCCAATCTATCATAAAAGTAGCCATAACCATGTTAATGTCAATGTTGATTCTATCAATACAATGCATCACAACGGATCCAAGCTTCTAGGAAGCTTAGATGGTTTGAAGAGGGTTGAAAACGAGTGGATCACTCACTCAAGCCATGTCAAACTCGAGCTCAGTTTATTTGTCAAAATATGAGCTTGAGTCGAGCTCGGTTCATGGTATTAACAATAGACTAGCAAGTCAACTCACGAGCTTGAATGCAATTGCCATGAGAGCACACCAGAAAAGTCATCTAAGTGATCAATGGTAGGAGAAAATGAGAAGTGTCGCAATAGCTTACCGAAGTAAGCATCGACGAAATTGGAATCCGATCAGTCGAGCCAGCACACAAGCCAACCGAGCACGAGATCATTTGATAGATGAGGTTGAGTTTGAGCTCACAGCTCGCAGCTCGACAAACACAACTCGTGAACTCATTAATGAATAGAGCTCAAGCCGGCTTGGCTCACTTACACCCTTAGTTTGAAGAAAGGATGAAAAGTTTTAAAAATATTATAGCCAACCCTCTGGCATTCTCCAACAGTCTCCGCAAGGGCCAACCTTCATTTAGGCATGAACAACAACTACAAGCTATGATCAAACCTAGCAATAGTCATATAATTGCTACAAAGAACTTTTATATAATAGGAAATAGATATGCATGCCCAAAAACACTTACCAACCAATAT